ATGATTTCCTCGAGGATAGGTCATAGTTTGAAGAAGATTTAATGCATCACATACTTGTTGATCAGGTAAATTACAAACACGTATAAATATATCATTATGTTTTCTTTGAATATAGATATTTATTTTTCAGGATTCAACTATTTTTCTTATCTTAGAATTAAAGTCATTATCGTCTAGTTGATTGAATGTTGGAATTAGTTGATCAAACAACTCTTTTTGAATACAAATATTTATTTCTCGAGATTCAAAGATATTTTTCATCCTAGAAATGAAGTCGTTATCATTTAGTTGAGCGAATGTTGGAATTAGTTGATCAAGCAACTCTTTTTGGACACAAGTATTTATTTCTCGAGATTCGAAGATATTTTTCATCCTAGAAATGAAGTTGTCATCATTTAGATGAGTGAATGTTGGAATTAGATGATCAAGAAAATTTTTTTAATCATTAAAATTTATTTCTCAAGATTTAGTAATTTTTTTTATTATAGAACTAAAATTGTCATTATTTAATTGCATGAATATTGGAATCAAATGATTAAGTACCATTAGGGGATTATTTTTAATATTCTTAAATATTTCTCTTTGTTCACATACTCATGACTCTCACTATTTTTAAGTTGTTTCTTTCGTGAATTTAGTCGACTCATTATGATGGTTCAATTACAATTACAATATGATGGAGATTCAAGAAATAGTTCTGGGCGTTTAGGATTAATGAATTTTATTGAAGATGGCAAGTAATTTATTATTTATCTACCAAGCTTTTTATCTCTAATACGAACTCATGTCCTTTTATAACACTTCACAAAATCATAGAAATTATAGAAATTATAGAAATCACGAATCAGAAGTTGCAATCGATAATTAAAAGACAAGAGTAACATAATTAGGTTTAGAGTATTGTAATTATTGTTTGTTTTGATATTACACTTTTTATTACAGTACAGTAAAACCTCTTTAAGCGCACGCTTTCAGGACCAAATTTTAACAAAAAATAATAAGAAAAGGTGCATTTATAGAGATCATATATATAGTCTAGCCAGAATTTGAGCATGCATTCAACTTAGAATATGCAAAGGTAAAAATTGTATTTTTAATAGTATGTTTAATAATATTTATTAAGATATATAATATTCAACTCAACTAACAATAACAATATTCTACATACCTTAAAGATTTTATTAAATAGCCAAAAGTTGTTGTTAGATTAATAAAGTAAAACCACCATAAGTGTGCGCTCTTGGGACCAAATTTTAACAATGTGTACTTAAAGAACAACAAGAAAAAAGTGTATTTATAAAGATCATATATATAGTCAGGCCAGAATTTGAGTATGTATTTAGAGAGGGTGTGCATTTATAGAGGGTGTACTTATGAAAGTTTACTGTATATTTAAATTTACATTCACATTATTTGTAGTAATAACGCGTATTTTTTTTATAATAAACCATTTAATTATTTAAAAAATGTGTGGGGTCTTAATATATTCATGATAAACGACAAGGAAAAGCAAGCCTATATTATTTAAATTCTACAGTAAAACCTCTATAAATGCGTGCTCCCGAGACCAAATTTTAACAATGTGCACAACAAAAAAAAGTGCATTTATATAGGTTATATATATAATCGGGCCAGAATTTGAGCGTGCATTTATAGAGAGTACACTTATAGAGATTTTACTGTATGTTTTAATAAATTGATACAATTATCATTATTTTACATAATAATTTACTGAGAATTGCTTTATTATGAATTGTTTCTAT